TAATTATAAAATAATTATTATACATGATTACAAATATCAATATCTAAAATATAATTAATATCACAAAAATTAATATTTTTTCAAACATATACACATCTTTTAATGATAATTGATAATAATTGATAACAAAAAAAATCTTGCCTTGGGAAAGTTTTAATTCAAATTATTTAAATAATAGAAAAAAAAATACCAATACAATATAAATAAAATATCAATAATATTAATTCGAAAATTGTCGATATTTTTGATTAAGATAAATGTATTTTCGATGAACAATTCGATATATAATATACTCTATGATTTTTCAACCAATGAGTTCGGCAGATGATCGGGTATATCGAGTACATGTAACGGGGATGAGTAACGAAAATGATGGCGCGCGGAATGCGCGAATGAATTATTAATAGAGAGGCCGGAGAGGCGCAAAGGGGGGACGTCATTGGCGAGCAAACAGTGAATCGATTTTACGCGCATACGCGTAAGAATTTTTCTGACGATGAGATTAACGCGCGCGCGATCTGTTTCGCTCTAAACAAATTCCTTCATCTTGATGATTCCACCACAGAGATAAGTCGCATCGAAGAAGCATTTTCATCGATACGTATTAATATAATACGTATAAAAAGATACTTGGCAAACACATTGTTTGCCACTTTGTTATTTTCGTACAGCGTTTCCACGTTTGTATTTTTATTCTCATATTTCTCGCGAGAGTGATATTTCTGTACTCTTGAAAAAATTAAAAAAAATAAAAAAAATAGACGCAATTAACGTCGAAAATTTATACAATAATACAGGATATATCCCGACGCTAATTATCAATTCTTTCTCCAAATATAGAATATGTCTCTCTCAAAGATGCGAGTCGATCGTAAAGTCGATATATTGTCGCCGTGGCCGTTGGAGATTTCACGAGAGTGGAAGAAAAAGAACATATGCTCCTCTCCACGAGCAAGGTGCGTGGAAGGAAAGACGATGTTGCGCGAGAGGGAGACGAAGGGGGGGAGGAGGGGGCAGAAGAAACGCGCGGGCGGGGGACAAGGAGAAACCGCGGGGGGACACTCGCCTGCGGCTAGCAACCGAAAAGGCAAAACTCCTGGCGAACACGAACTGGTTTTCGGGGATATCGTGGTTACATGTCGTTGGCGAAAACACGACGACGACGACAGCGGTGGCGTCGGCGTGCAGTTGACCCTTTCTCTCTCGAGAAAGAGAGAGAGAGAAAAGATATTTTTCCAAAAAGTATATCACGAAGGAAATTCGCGCGGCACAAAATTATAACTGTACAATCAGAAAATGAGAGGATAAGTTCGCTTAAACCTTGGCAGATATTACGTTGTTTTTTAGATCTCATGATATAGAGAGAAAAAGAGAGAGAGAGAGAGAGAGAGAGAGAGAGAGAATTGTTATAATTGCGTGTATAGCAAAATGTAAAAAATAAAATTTATATATATTTATATATTCAAAATCACTCTCTTATACAACTTTTAATATGATAACTGTTTTTTAACCAAAGTGTCTCATGTAAAAGATGTGTCGAAGAACTCGACAATTATTTAAATGGAATATATTCGTTGGAGATGGAACAAAACAAGAGATGCAAGAGACAATTCTTTGAAAAGGAGAGAGAACAAAGATATGAAACAAAGATAAAAAACTTCCATCTTTCTAAAGGAAACTGCAGTTGTAGTCGTGAGATTACAGTGAGTTTGCTTAAGGCGACTTTGATAAATAGAGGTGAAGATATATAGATAAAGCATTCAATAAATAGTTTAATGTAAGAGGGTGGTAAGAGTACATGACGGAGGACTGGCATTTCGTGAGCACAGTCGTAAAATTATGAGTTTGCTTAAGGCGAAAAATGAAGACGTCGATAGATATAATAGATAAATAAATGAATAGATGGACGATGCACACAAGAGAGGGTAGTAAGTGCTCGAAGGGAACACTTTCTAGCTATTAGCTATGTGAAACCAGTTGAGTTTAATAATCACACATGCAGCCGATATATAAAGAACTTCCGTAATTCTCTCAACTCTCGAGATGATCATCACATAAACACGAAGATAACGATAAGGAAATTTGCTTAATAGATACAGATATGATGACATCTTAATTTCGGGATAAAAGATGCTAAAATTTATCAAAGCGATCTCTCTCTCTCTTTCTCTCTCTTCATGATGACAGCCAATTATAAACTAATATAAAGTCTCATTTCAACGGATAAGAGACAAAAGAGCGAAATTGAAATTTGATAACTTCGAGTTTGATTTTTCACGTGTTTTTTTATCGCGCGAATACTATTCACGACTTCAAGGATACAATTACAATACAAATGAATCACGTTTCACGCACGCACACATACACATATACTGCTCGTTTGAAAGAAATTGTATTCATTCTGGATGAGATAAGAACAACGTTTTCCCGACAATGAACATTCGTGTCCTGAATATTTTATATCGAACACCATTTACAGTCGATATATCAACTTTTTGATAGAGTAAGATGGAATAGCAATCGAACGTGAAGAAAAAAATCTAGTTCTAAATAAATTTTTAATTCAATTTTATAGACTTGTTGAGACATATAACATCGAAATTCGTCACGAACGATGTTTCTCGTCTAATCTTTCTCTCAAGGAGAGAAGACTTCGATTACAAAGTCGAGCAATATATCGTCATCGCGTCTCGTAAAAATTATTGTCTTCCAATACGATGTAGAGACACGTTTCGGAACCGAAAACGGAGGGAAAGAAAAAAGAAGGAAAGAAATACGCGACAACGTTGTTTACGCGCGACGAGGAGAACGCAGGAGGGAATTTAACGAGAAAGAATGAATGGGACCATGAGCGGCCATCGGCGTTTCGAGGTAGGTAGATATGCGCTTCTCGAGAAACGTCACGTACGGCGGCTATGATCTGGCTACCTGAGAATCGTCGATCGCGTATCCGAATTCCGGTGGACTACGGCATACTCGCGAAATCGTTTCGCGAACACACAATGTATCGCGAGTTCCTCCTCGTCGGTGACGTCGGGGAGACGACGACACGGTCTCGCCGTAAACACGGAGAATGGCAGACGAGACGGATGAACGAGCCGAGAGCGTGTTTTAGCGCTGAATAATGCGACATACATATATATATGTATAAACGACGCGCTCCTCACGCGACGCATTTTCGGAACGAACGCGCCCCGAGGACATTCGCAAGGTGGAATTGCGAGGATCGCGAGGTCGGGTCGAACCGAGCGCCCGCGGCGCGGCGGGGGAGGGGGAGACCGTCGTGCCGCGAAGAGGAGCGACAAGGACGAACGTACCGCGAACGGCCGCGGGGGAAGAAAGAGAGAGAAAGAGAGAGAGAGAGAGAGAGAGGGAGAGTGGGAGAAAAAGCGAGAAACTACTCACCCAGAGCTCCGTGCCCCAGCTCATGTTTGCTGGGCCGGGGTAAACCAGCGGGCGCGACGATGGCGAATAATGATATTCCCCGGCGACACTTCACATGTAGCGTAGCGCCTTCGCCCTCGATCACTTTCCGATGCACACCACTGCCGTATCCGTATCGTATCCACAGGCACCCGCGGGCGGGGGAAGGGGAAGTTACTACGGGGGGGAAGGGAAAAAAAAGAAAACGCGCACGATGTAGAGATCGCCCGCCACGCGCACGATATCACACGGGCAGCTTCAACATGTCGCCGCTCGATCTCTCTCTCGTAACCACCGCCGACTACTACCTGCCTCACCGCTTCCGTTGCCACCACTGCCGCCGCACCGCCGCCAGGGACTGACTGACCGCGGTCGCGGCGGTCGCCGAAAAACCGCCCGGAATTCCGGCGTGGCGCGCTCTGCCGGCCGCACCGGGAACGACGCGCCGACTCGATGATACGCGCGTGCGCGGCCGAGACCTAGGGCGATGACGCGACGCGCGAAGTTTAAATCGTGATTTTTTAGTTTACTCTGAAACGTTTAGAAAATAATTAAAAATATTAGTAGCGACGGGCTCTTTGTGTTATTTGTGTAGCGATAATTGATGTTTTGTGTCGCGAATTATAGTCACGTGTACTGGCTGTTTTAGAGAGAGAGTCGCTAATTAATTATAACATCTAGATTACTCAGAATTCTTGTTTTTTTTTTTTTTTATTTAATTAAGATTATATAAAAAACCATATGTGCAAACGGATTCGAGTATATTTTCTTACAAATCTGTCTATTGCAAATCTACAAGAAATGTCAATCCTTTTAAAATTTTTTTGTTTTCTACAAAAAATCTTTTTTAATGAAATCGCTTATACAATTTTACCAATATATCCAACAATGGGAGAGCGAAAAATTCAAACCTGGAGTTTACAATCGAGTTGATAGAAAATCAAAAATTTGCGCGAATTGCTGAAATTTCCATGGTATGTATGTATTTATACTTTAATTGTCAACACGCGTTCGTGGCACATAAATTATTTTAAATAATCGATTTTGCGGTCGCGAACAATATGGCGTTGGGTGACTCGAACGAAGTATCAAAGGTCGTCGAAATGTGGACTCGGGAGAATAGATAGATCATTAATCTTTATCTCAATTTGCTTAATTATTACGCACGTTTCACGCAACATATGGTCCCGGTGATTATATCTCCAAATACATTTTTCGGCGAAGTGGGGGACATGAAGTGCCCACTATGGAGGTTGTATTTACAGTCTCTCTCTTGAAATCTTTCTTATTGAAATAAAATCTTTGTCGATTGAGATATGATCGTCGAAGTGGCACGCTATTTGCACAGTTGTATCTACATTAATCTCAAGAATTATAATTGCAAGCATATTTTGAAAACGTAATAGCAAGAAAACGAGGTGTCAAGTGTCAAATTTGTAAATTCTAAAGACAGTATATGGTTCATAATAATTTTTTTTTTTTTCGTTTTGCATTAAAGAGAATTATATCAAAATGCAAAAATTTCAAAATAAATGTGTCAGTGTGATAATATAGTAATTTCATGAGCAAAAATGAAATGTTAATCAGAATACTGTCATTCTTATCCTTAAGATTCCTTTTACTCTGGATAATTTTTCATTTATTTTTATGGATGAAACAGATTATAATAATCTAGTTTTGGCAATAAGAATAATAATTGTCTCTTAAAAAAAAAAAGAATTATTTACACGTTGAAAAATTAATAGTATTCTCAGTTGATTTTTGTTTTGCTTATTCAAAAAGTTATGACAATATATATATATACAGAAAACTATAAATTTAGTATATACTTACAAAAATGAGTATTAAATATTATTGTTTCAATATATATAGATATCATTGATATTTTTGTTTTATATTATTAAATATTATTGTTTTTTAATATAAGCATTATCGTATTTGATATGCACTAATGATAAAATATATTGAATGCAGGTAGTAGAGTTATTTAATAAGTTCAACGACAGCCTGGGGTCATACATATTTTCAAGATGGATTGGAAGATTTATAGAAGAATATCAGACATCAAGGACAATCTTTATCATCGCCACAATTCTACTGCTTATTTTCTTAGTTGTGCCAATCTATGTACTGCGCAAATGGAAGAACAAAGAATTTCTACCAGAGGTGAAGGAGTTTGTTGGAGTGGGCACTGGAAAGCCAAGATTCAGAAAAAGAGACAAGGTTCTCTTTTATGGCAGGAAAATGTTACGCAAGGTAAAATCCATCGGTGGCCAAGTACATGCTACTGGACAAGGAAAGAAAAGGAGAGCGGTCATGAGATTTGCTCGTCGATTATTACAACTTAAGAAGGAAACCGCCCCACAACAGCTCAAAGTATGTTTCATATAATATATAACTAACAATTAGCAATTTTATTTAACCAACTCATTTAATTCTAAGGTATTGGAACCACCCGCTGAGTATCTGGAAGAAGATTTAGGACCTGGTGAGAGAGTGCCGCCAGATGCTCTATATATGTTGCAAAGTATTAGAGTTTTTGGTCATTTTGAAAAACCTGTGTTTCTGAAGTTGTGCAAGTACACGGAAATCATGAATTTACCCGCTGGCAGTACATTGTTTAAAATTGGAGATCCCGACGAGAATTTATTTATAGTGCAACAAGGTTTAGTCAATGTATATATTACTGGACCCGATGGCTCTCAAATATCATTAAAACTAGTGAAAACAGGAGAGTCCGTTACCAGTCTTCTTAGTTTTACCGATGTACTTACCGGGCATACAAGTACATACAAAACTGTATCTGCAAGAGCTATGGAAGATTCTATTGTAGTAAAGTTACCAATGTGCGCATTTCAAGAAGTAAGTTATGTGGTGTATTTCTATATATATATATGCATTTTTTTTATATTATATAATTTTGATTTATAAAATATTTGATCTTATTATTTTCTCTATTTTTATGAGATTATAAATCATATAAATGTTATATAACTGTTAATATTATTGCAGGTATTTCAAGATTATCCTGATGCCTTTGTTCGAGTTATCCAGGTCATTATGGTACGCCTGCAGAGAGTTACCTTTACCGCGTTGCACCAATATCTCGGTCTCTCTGCAGAATTAGTCAATCAGGGATCACACAAGAAGAAACAAAGTCCATTCTCCGGTTCGCCAGTACGATCAAGAACTAGAGAGAATTTTGCCTCACAAAATGAAAGTATACCTGGTGTATTTCCAGTTGGCACATCGGAAACGCACGATACCAGTGATCTTTCTCATCGTGATGTGCCCAATACAAATAGTAGTTCTCAGCCTGTGCCCATACTTGGAAATCGTCGGTGAGAAACTATTAAAATAATATATCCTATTTCTTTTTTATCGATATAAGCAGATTAAGCGAGTTTTATTAAAATAACTTTTCATTATACAGAATAATATTTTGTCATTAATTACTTATCACTATTTCATGGCAGAACAAAAAACAGTGCCGACTGGAAGAATCAGAGTTTAAACTCGCAACTAAATCAGAATTTGGCAGATATGGTACCAGAATGTGATTCTCACTGGCCAAATCCATCTTCATCGATAACATCTCAGCCGTTGCAAGGATCACATACGGAAGCTTTTCATTCTGGAAGTACTTACCTTGGTAGTACTAAAAAGCGCCAGACTAATGAGGGAGCACAACAACAACAGCAACAACTGGATGAAGAGCATCTCGTGCAGATAGCCACCGACGCGTTTGTTCGTGAACTCGGCATAGAGGATGAGACGGTGCTTAAAGACAAAGTGCAGATTAGAGAAGTGCCAGTTGGTACTTATCTGATGAAAGAAGAATCTCACAAGGTTTACCATCGTGTATATTTTCTATTTTTATTTACATATAGATTATGTATAAGAAAAGAAATCTTTTTATATATATGTGTGATATATAATGTATAAAAAAAGGTTTCTTTTCCATTCATTTTTTAATCACCTTATAGGACGTCGCACTTGTATATGTACTTTCGGGCTCACTAATAGTAAGCCAACGCGTATCGGAGGGCCGGGAGGCGGGTCAAGAAGTACACATGTTTAGCGCTCATCAGGGTGAAATCGTCGGTGGTTTAGCGGTGCTGACCGGCGAACCATCCTTTTACACGATCAGAGCGAAGCATCCTAGCCGTATCGCGCTACTTAGCAAATTAACGTTCTTCGCCATTATGCGAGATCAACCTACAGTCGTGTTGCATGTGGCACATACCGTTGTTCGCAGATTAAGCCCGTTTGTAAGACAGGTACGAATATCTAAAACAAATAAGAAATTTTTATAAGAAAACGAATATTTTTAACAAACAAGCTATTATTTCTTGAATAGGTGGATTTTGCTCTCGACTGGTTATTTCTTGAAAGCGGAAGGGCCGTTTATAGACAAGGGGATGAATCAGATTCGACATTCATAGTGTTGAGCGGACGATTGCGATCGGTAATTACTTATAAAAACGGCAAGAAAGAACCAGTAGCAGAATATGGAAAGGGCGACTTGGTAGGCATCGTAGAGATGGTTACGCAAACTCCGAGGTCGACAACGGTTATGGCGGTCAGGGATTCCGAACTAGCGAAGCTGCCGGAAGGTTTATTCAATGTGATCAAACTAAGATATCCAATCGTTGTCACGAGATTAATAAATCTTCTCGGTCATCGCATACTCGGCACTTGGCAGCAAGCGCATACGAAAAATAGCAATGACACACAGTAAATATCATAATATGATAATATATTAAAATCAATTTTATTGATCAAATTATTATTGCAATATTATACTTGCAAAAATTATATATTGTTTTATATTGATAATGTTATTAATGTTAATTAATATTTTTAATTAAGGATAACTTTGGTTATAGGCGAGCCGCAGCAACAGTCGATGCCAGACCCGCACAAGTAAATTTTTCAACTGTTGCCATAGTGCCTGTGTCGGATGATGTACCATTAACTGCTTTCACTTATGAATTGTATCATTCTTTATGTGCCATTGGATCTTGTCTTCGTCTAACATCAGATGTTGTAAGAAAGGTATTGTATCATATTCGTCTATATCTAGTTATATAATTTGATTATTAAAATATTATTTATTTTATAATATATGTATAAAAAATATATTAAAAATATTTAAAAATATAATAAAAAAATATTCTTATTTTTATTATATATCCAGCATAATTTAATTTTCTTAAATTGGTACTTTATTATAATACTTCATGCTCATTTTCTTTTTAATACAAAAAGAGATTAGATATTAGTTTAATCAATCATCTATATTATCTTCTTTTTCTACATAGACTTTAGGAACGACCATCATGGAACCTGCAAACGAGTACCGGCTGACTTCCTGG